ATCCTTAGATGTGTCCAAAGTAAGTTTTTACATCCAGATATTTATCAACTAGGAAAGGCACACATTTACTTCCATAACTGAAAAGACAATGATACTCAAAAGTTCTATATTATTATTTTTCAATGGTCACTCCATTTTAGGCCATGATCACCTCAAAAATCATCTCTTGCAGTTAGTCTTTCACACACCCCATTTTGTCCCTCCCCTCAAAAATCTATACTGTGTGCTATTATTAGAAAAGATTCTTTAGAATTACACTTTATTTAGTTTCTCACTATTCATGGAATGAATTCTTGGCCTGATCTCTTTGTCCTTCTGTTATACCCACTTGGTGAACCCAATTAACCCAATTACATCTATGGGCCCACTTTTCTCCAAGCTTACGTTCTGGCAGTTGAGATAAAAATCACAAAACTGTTCAACCCTGTTATTTCTTGAGATAGTACTTCAAATGTTATCTATATTGCACAATACCCACCATATTACTCTTAAATTACCTCTAGACTTATAGAAAATATATCTAATATCCTCAGTATTCTGCCCATGAATTTGTAAACTGAAGTGCATTCCCATATATTGTTCCCACTCTTATGTTTTAAGAGAGACGTTTTCTCCTGGCTGAAACCATTTAAAGATGGCCATAATGTCCAGTAATCAACTCTGGGTCTTCATTCCATTTTCACTGCTTGCCATCTCCTTTGTATCTTCAACCTTTCATTCTCTACTGGCTTCTCATTGGCTTCTAAACTTTTTTTTAAAACCAGTCTTCATTAGGGCTTCCTCTCACTACCTCCCTATCTCCTCTCCAGTCAGAGCCATTTGTTTTCTGTGCTAATTTTCTTCATCTCTTCCTGCATTAACTGCATTGCCCTACCAAAACTACTCTTTCCAAAGTCATTACAATAACCTTTTGCCCTACCTTCGTGGAAACATTTCAAAGCTTAATGAACCTCTTTTCAATAGTTTAAACTGTTGTTCTTTCCCTTCTTAAAACACACTTCCTTTCTACCACACTTTCCTGCCTTTTCTCTTACTTCCTGACTACCCTCAACAGTCTCCTTTTGTGAACATTAAAAAAAAAAAAGATTTTATTTATTTTAGAGATACAGTGTGCGGACACACACTTGAGTAAGGGGTGAGGCAGGGGGAAAAGAATCTCAAGCAGACTCCCTGTTGAGCATGGAGCCTGAGGCAAAGCTCTATCTCACAACCCTGAGATCATGACCTGAGCCAAAATCAAGAACTGGACACTTCACCACCTACGCTACCCATGTGCCCCTATGCATAATTTTTTCTTCTCTCTATCTTTGGGGCTGTGAGATCCTAGGTTCTTTCCATTTTACAGTGAACAATCCATTCCACTCTCATGGTTTCAATTATTTATGGACTCCAAAATCTTTATATCAGACCTCTTTTCTGAGCAACAAACCCATATTAACCAAAGCTTGACCTCTTAACAAGACAGGTTTAAACTGCATGAGTCCACTTACAGGCAGATTTTCCCCCCATAAATATACATACAGTATTGCAAATGTATTTTCTCTTCCTTATGATTTTCTTAGTAGAATTTTCTCTAGCTTGCTTTATTATAAGAATACTGGATAATACATATAACAGAAAATATGTGTTAATTGACTGTTCATGTTATCCGCAAGGCTTCCAGTCAACAAGTTATTGCTATTTAAGTTTTTGTGGAGTCAGAAGTTAAATGTAGATTTTTTAAATGCACAGGATATTAGCACCCTTAACCTCTGCATTGTCCAAGGGTCAACTGTGATTGCTTCCTAAACATCTTTTCTTGGATATCCCACTCAAACTCCCAATGTCTAAAACTGCACACTTTGAATGTTCTCTTTTATCTCAGTGAACGTTACTATCATCTATCACTTAGATGTTCAAGCTCAAACCTGGACATTACCCTTTATTCCTCTACTCTCTAAAATACACTGATCCTCTTAGACCTCTGTCAAATGTATTTGTCCTCCTCCATTACTGCTATTATTAGGGCTCCAAACATTTTTTCATTAACTGATGCTGGCTCACAATTTGGGCTATGCTTCCCTCAGTAGCTTTATCTTTTGCCATTTTTCTGTCCACCCCTTGCTACTTTCTTAATTCCTCTTTATGCCTTAGCTATATGAATTAAATTACTCGGTGTTCTATAATCCTGTTCTGTCACCCAAATTTTCCACATGCAGTTTGCTCTGCCTGAAATACTTCCTGACTTCTAATACTTTGGCATTCTTCAAATCTCAGATGTGACTATGTAAGAATCCTTGCCTAATTTTCTAAACCTGGGTTCAATTACCCTCCTAGGTGCTTCTACAAGCCACCTCTCTCCCCAATCATAGCACTCTACTTTGTACTGGAATTGCCTAGTCACTGTCCCCTATGAAATGATAAGCTCCATGAAAACACAAACCATGACTTTAGTCATTCTACTCCCTTAATGTAATTAATAATATCTCACTTAAAACATAAAATATACTCTATTTATTGAATATATACACAGTGCAGGGCTTGTTTTCTTACTCAGATGGAAAGGCAACTTTCTGAACTTTCTATAGCATCAAAGAGCATATTGTAGGCATTTCATTAACTACATACGGAATTAAGAATAGGCTAGAATTACATTTTCTTTCCTTTCCATGTCTACAGTTGATATATAGCAGCAGATATGTAGTAAAGCATAAATTTTAAAACTCCTCTATGTGTTAAACTATATCTTGACAGTTAATCTTGAAATGTACAAAACAAGATATTTATGGCAGAAGAAAAAATTTCATCAATAGAAATATTCTCTAATTCATTATATACATTGCCTTATGAATTTTTCTAGGAAAGTCCTTGTTGCTAGAAATCTCTCTCAAATCTCCAGTCACTAATTGTTCTACAACGAAGAAAAACACATATAAAACTAATAATGAATTTTAGTGTCACTTCCAAAAAGGCATTAAGAAGTATGGAATACCAAGAATAATGAGAAAAAAAAAAAAAAAGACCTTAAGAAACATTTTAAAATCAGATAAATATAACAAATGCTGCTATAAATACAACTTTATAAAAATAATGTCCTTGATTAAAAAAAAAAGAATGTTAAATAAAGAAGGAAAGTTATCAGTAAAAGATAAATAAAACTTTAAGCAGAACAGGACATAGTACTATTAATTTTTAAAATGAGAAAAGGTGAAAAACAACTCTTACTCTGATACTAAATTTTTTAAAAATATCACAAAAGGATTTTGAGACTAATTTGAAAAAGTAATAATGAGGCATCTTCCATCTTATTTTTCCCTGGTGATCTCATATTTAGTGAGGTAAAGAATCATATTAATATAAATTTTATATTCATACCTTAGGAAGATACAATGTTTAAGAAGCTAGAAGGACTAAATATGGTTCTGTTGTAAACTACCTTTGGTAAACGCAAACAGCATGAAATGAGAATGGTAGTAAGAATTAAAAATGAAACACTGCACTTTATACTTTATTTATGACAATCTTTTAAAAAGATGTGTATATATTTTTAGGTGAATTATAAATTTTTTTTTTTAATCACTATCAGGCTTCTTCCTTCTTTTTTCCTGACATGCTACTTGTTATGTTCAATTATCCTAAGGATAAGAAACAAAGAACATTGTTTTTTTGATTTGATTCATCTTTCATAATGGAAACTCTAATTTGACCAACATTAAAGCTTTAACCATCACATGTTACAAAGTTAAAATTTTTAATTAATGCATGTTAAATACTACTGAAATAGATTATTTTAAAGTCACTCAATTAACTGAATGTTGGAGGCCATCATAATCATCTAACCTATTAAATCTTGAGTTTAATTATTGCTTTTAATATTTTAATATTAGACTTAATAGTTGTTTTTTAGCTTTTGAAAAGGTTTTAAAAAGGTAACAAAAATAAAGCCATCGATAATTCCATAAGCCCCTAAAATACACAATGTAACAATGCAACCATACAATAAATGTCCTTAAATTTACAAATGTAACCTGGCACTCTCTCCCGTCTGGGAAGTAATGAAATAAGCACTACCATACTTCTACAAATCTTGGACTGTCTAACACCTATCAATAAGCTGAGAAGGAACTAGCTACATTGGCAACTACACTGTTCATAAACTATTTTGCTAGGGTCTGAGGTTAACAGTCTCCCTGAGGCACCAATGTCAGGCCAGCACAACTGAGTAAAGCTCATAATTACTTACTAAAGTAATTTCAGTTTACATTCTAAATTTAGCATTACCTTAACATTACCTTTATATAACTTTCTCCCTTGCTATCTCTGGAAAGAAACCCTCATCTTTATATATGTGGAATCTAGTCCAATGACTCATTATGAAAAAAAACCTATTCAACAAGTTTCCTTATTTATTGAAGAAAATACCTTGTTCCTTGACACTATTTAAATAAGCAGAGTCTTAAAATGGTTCCCAAAGCAGTACCAGAGGGTATAACAATTTGATGGTGAATGTGAGACTTGTATACTAGAATTACTATATATGTTACAGACCTCATCAACTTAGCAATGAGACAGTCTTTACGTCTTTCCACATGGTCTCAAAGCTATTAATTTATCAAGACAATGAATACATATTATCCTGTAGTGTAGCAGTTAATTTTTAGATAGCTCCTTGGGTATATTTACCATTCACACTGTTTTCTATATTTTATATGAGGTCAAATACAAAAACAGATAATATAACTTGTACATTAATGATCTATGTTTAGGAGCTTTCTATGTCTCTACTACATATATTTTAATTTGCTTCAAATCCTGGACACATTAAGATGTAGGGAAGTGCATGGGTATATTTAGTAGGACCTAATAACATGAGTTTCATACTAGGTGCCAAGAAATTAGGTTGTCCAAATATTTTGGAAATAAATTGAAACTAAATCAGCTGTTCCTTTTCTACCCATTGTCTCATACTTTACTCAAGGCACCTAAAATGAAACTTTAAAATTAAGTAGAGAAAAACTTACCTAGTTGGGATTTTGAATAATAGTTTGCCATTTGTCCACTGTTGCAGGACTGTCGTTTATGCCTTTTTGTTGACATTTCTGTGGTCTTCCATGGTGGTCTTTTTCTTTTGTTCAATTTGCTAAGAACATCAGAACTATCAGGATTCTTGTCATAGTTAACACATTTATTTAATTTACTATTGTCAAGTTGGCTGGGAAATTTATCGATTGAAGGACTATTTGTTTTAGCATTTTCCATTTCTTTAGACTGCTTTTTAAAAGAATTTTGCCTAGCAGAATGGGATCTTAAGGTAAAGCGCTTTGATTCTTCTCTGTGAGTCTGAGGATTACTTCCACTGTCAATAGATTCAGGAGAGTAAATGATTGTATTTAGCTTAAAAGTATTTCTGTGTTCAAGATAGTTGATCTTCCTCAAAAATATTCTACAATCTTTTAAGGTTTTTGACTTCCAATTATTTGGACACACATTTCCTAGTCTTGGTCCCTTTTCAAAATCTTTTTGGCTGCAACTTGTTCCATTCTCTTTTGCTTCTGACTTAAAATTATTCTCTAAACTAGCATGTGTTTTCAAGTCAGACATTGCCACCTTCTGTTGCAAAGAGTTCTCCCTGATCTCAGGTGGCAAAATAAACTGATTAGCTATTGTGTTTTTTCCTCGGAGTGGGATATCGGCATTTGTTCCCTCCTCAGTCTTACTTAAAAACTGGTTCTGGCAGAAAAATCTTAAGTTTTTCCTTTTAGAGATCCAATCAATTGTTCCATGGTTGTGCAGCTTTCCCTCTCTTTTCCACCTTTCATGCTGCAACCTCTTAAACTCAGTTCTTTTTAATCTAGCTAACGTTAAATTATTTTTCACATTTAACAGCGGAGAGCTAACCATTTTATGCAGTATATGCAACTTCCCTGCAGATTTTGAAGGAGAAGATAGTGCAAATTTTTTAAAGTGCTTTCTGAAGGGGCTGGTATTAAAATTAGAATATTTGGTCCCTAACTTAATTCCTCTAGTATTTATTACTTCCAAAGGGTTTCGAGCATTTGCTTTTCTAACTAGTGAAAGAGACTGTGTTTCTGTTGTTTGCATAAACCAGATACAGAGTTCATTCAAATCATACTTTTTCCGAAAAAGCATTTTTACAGGTGAAACTTCAAGTTCTAAAAGACAGGTTTCCAAAGGGTTTGCTATTTTGAAATTATCATTTTCAATGTGTTCTCTCTTTTTATGAGCATAATTTCCAGCTTCATCTCCACTCACTTGCACCCAAGCATTTGTTATTTGCTCAAATCTATTGTTTAATTCCTCTAATAAGGAATCGTTTGATGTAGAAGCAGCCCACCACCTGAGCAAAGGATTTGATGAAATTATTGGGTCCAAGGATACTTCAGAAATGGGTATTAATTTGTTATCTTCCAAACACATTTTTTCATTCCTTGAATTTCTGGTTGCTGGGGTACCTTTCGAAACTATTTTTATCCTTGACTGCTTATGTTTTTCCTTCTGACTTTTACCCTTTTGCAAATGGAGTTTATATGATTTACGGAACAGAGCATTTCTATAAATAAGTGAGCTAGAAGATGCTAATGGATGTAAGAAATGGAGAGATGGTTTTCTATCTCTAATAGAATGTCTCAAAGGTATAGTAGCAACCATACTTTTTGATCCATTCTTAAATGTGTCAGCTTTGGTGTGCCCTGTATCCATCTTATTGCATTGGTGATCATACTTTTCTTCAGCCAGATTTTTTTCTAATATATTTTCTTGTTGTAAAGGAGGTAAGCAGCTGCTAATACTTACTTCTCTCTCCTGAGGTGAAACTCTATTAATAGTCACAGATATGCCAGAGATTTTCACTTTTGCAGGTCTACCAGGCTTCCTAATTATAGCAAAAGGCTTCTGAGTTGGTCGAATAATGTTCTTAGAAGGTTGAGGTATCACAGACCTGTTCTTGATAGGCCTAACATATTCAAAGCCAGACCCCAAGACCTCACTTCCAGTAGTTAAACTTGAAACAGCCCTTCTTTCACCTGCATCAATTTTGTATTCTCTAATATTTCTGAGACTGTTACTTTCAGTTGGAATATCAGCAACATTATTGCTGAAAGATAACACATTGCTTATGTTTACCGTTCCTTCAGAAACATGCCTTCTAGTTCTTCTTGACCTTCCATAAATAACAGTTACGGTAATACTTTTTCTATAAATACTTTCTCCTACTTCTGATAGGAGAGATTCTGGACTTTTCTTTCCAGCACTAGAAGACTCGTTTTGGCAAATGGTGATGTCTGTTTGATTAGTTTTAGGTTTTGGTGGTCTTCCAATTGGCCGCTTAATTTGTTGCACAACCTGGGGACCTATTTTTTTAGGTCTACCTGGTTTCCGTTTAAAAGATGAATCAATACCATTGCTTGGATTTTCCTTAGGTTCATCTTGTGGCATATCACTATTCATACCATCTATGAACATTGCAGGGGATTCTGTAGTTTCTTTTGCACAATTAAATTTGTTTAGTTCTCCCTGTAGAGTGTCACTATCATTAAGATTAGAACTATACTTTTCAAAGTTAGCATTTGGGACATTATTTGTCACTGTTTTTTTTTCAATTACATGATGAGTTAGATATTTTTCAGAAGGAAGTTCAATATTTGACTTGGAAGTACCAACTGAAGTTAAAGTGTATTTGACTCCTTCACTGCTTTTAACCTCAGATAAAAACATGAGTTTGATAGGACTAGAATAGCTGGAAAAAGAAGAGCGTTCAATGGCTTCATATTTTGTTGACACACTTTGAACATTGGAAATCAAGCTACTCGTATCCAAAATAGATGTCTTTTCCAGATTATCAAGTCTTTTGCTATTCAAATCTATTGTAGGAATAGGATTGCTTTTGATATTGCTGGCTGCTACCACAGATTTTGATAAACTCTGCTCTTTGCATGTCATTCTGCTTACAGTAAGAGTCACATTTCTACCTGCAGTTTGATCTTTACCATTAACTTCTATCAACTTCTTGGATGCCTTGCATCCTTCAGATAATGAGTGATTATTCAAAGACTTTTGGGCCATATTTATTGTGTCTTCCAAACGCTCCACAACAACTTGTAAATTAGAATTCATTGCAATTTTGTTTAGCTCTATATTGTGTGAGCTTTCAATTTGAATATTTTTCATGGAATCTTTTTTTTTGTAGATTCAGAAACTTTTTTGGCCTTAGGGGATTTTTTGAAAACATAATTATTTGTTACATATATAGAATACCACCCTGGGGGCACAATATTTCGTTTAGTTCTGCTCAAAAATCGAGGAACATCACTTTTCAAAGGAGCTTGAGTATTCTCCAGGTTGGGGTTCTCCTTGTGATTTTGCAAAAGTTTTTTTCCACCTGCAGATTTCTCCTGTGATTTTCTTATGCTCATTTTCTCAGGGAAAGTTGTTTTAAAGCTTTCTGAAAATGCATCAAAAGCCAAGTTAGTTTCTAAACTATGAAGAGGTAGTTGTAATGACTGTAATGCACAATCTGGTGAAAATGATGTTTCTGTATGATTATTATCTTGCCAGTTTTTAGAATTTTGTAAAGACCCTTGGCAATGATAGAATTCTTCTTTGTCCGTGGAAAATATCTCATCATTGCGTGTCAACTTCCTTGAATTTTTTTCAGTGTATTTTTTTCTTACAAAATTTTCATCAAGACTAGCAAGTTCTCTTTTTATTTGTAAAGACTGCCTTCTAAACATGGGGGAATCAGGAGAGCTGTGCATTGAAAATAAGGTTTCTTGACGCTTTCGAAATCTTGTCTGAATAATTTTATTTTCTACCTTTTTATCATGTTGACTCAGCAATTCCATGAAACTGTAATCACTGACCTTGGCATTATGCAAGAGTGAGGATATTAAATCCCTCAATTTTAAATCATTATCTGTATTACAATCACTGCTAGATAATGTTAAAAGGTTTGTCACATCTGTAGCTTCTATTGATTTTAATTTTTCATTAATACGATCCATTAAATCTTGAAAAATTATAGTAGTTTCATCTTTTTCATGATTTGCAGTACAATTATCGCTGTCTTCCAGGAGCAAATAATCAGAGTTACTGGATTTTTTAGTTTTATGTACTTTACCTTCGGGATCGCCCTTGTCACTGTTTATTTCTGCTGGTATGAGAGATGGAGGCTGGTTAATGTTTATTTCAGGTCTGTTATTTTCTAAGGCTGAAAACTCTGGGACGACATCTTTCAATTTTTCAAATCCTTCAGTCTGTACAGGTGATAACGGTGGAGGTGATGGACTTCGAGATCTACAAACATCCTTAAGACTGACTGAAACATCGCATATTTCCCTTGATGAAAGAGGAGCATGAAAGGTTGATTTTGTAGAGTGAATGTTTGGTAACAGTCCAGAACAGCACCTGTGAGAATTATAACTGTTTGCAATTCCTCTATTCACTACTGTCTTAATGCGTTCAATAGTTACAGTTTGGCAAGATAAACAATGTAAATCTTTAATACAGACTGGCAGAGGCATAAAACCAGGGCTTTGTCTTTCATTTTGTAAATACCCTCTTTCTGCCAGCCTATATTCACAACTACAGAATAGACCATGTAAATCATCTTCAATTAGGGGCTTTTGAGATTCTGAAGACACAGTATATGATGTATTACAATAGCAAAGAGAAGCAGCATTCTGCTCTTGGACTAGAAATTTCAACATGGCCAAAACTTGTTGCTGGTGATGTATGCACAAAGATTCCAAAACTTTGCTTAATGCTGATTTTCCTTTTTCCATTTTAGTAGCTTCCTCTGATTTTGCATCAACAGTTGAACTAAAAATAAAAATCAAACAAAAAATGAATTACAGCAAAAATACCAGTATTATAAGGAGTTATAATTTTAACAGAGTTTGAACAAAAGAAGTTTTGGTATTGCTGGACTCCTAACTCCTATAGAGCTGTAATAATGACATCTTGATTATTGTTCGGAAAAAATATAATGAAGCACTGGTGATAATTTCCTATGGCAAGTAGAATAGTCAAAGAAAAGCCCTAGTTTTGTGATATAAAACCTGATTATAGATTATAATTATAATAATAATATAGATTATATTTTTATTAAATATAAATATGATTATATTTATAGATTGCTAATGTTTAGTGCTTTGGATGTATTAAGAATATTTAATGGAAAGTGCTTCAGAAAGTTATTTTTGGAAGTAGATATTTTATAAGTTATTTTGAAAATTATTAATCCATATTAGTGCAAATAAGAAAAATAAGATATAGGAGAAAATCTTATCTTTAAGATAGATATTTTTTCAAGGTAGTGAAAATAAAAATTATTAATAAAAGAAAGCTTTGTATACTCACAAGGAAAATTAAGGAATTTAGACTTCATATAAGTAACAGAGTATCTTTTCTAAGATTAAGCTGCAGGCATTTTAACCTAATAATAAAAAATTTAAGCTATTTAAAAATAAAATCTATTTTTAATTGATTTTAAATACTAAAGTAACTACATGAAGACTAAAGGCATTACTTACCTAATTATTTAATTTCAATTGCTGGAAAATGTCCCACTGAAGACTAACATACTTCTAATTTTAACTAACACCTAGGATTACTTAGTAACCAAGGCAGAAGTCTACAAAAAATTTTTTTAATCCAATACCAGCAGCAAGAAGAGTAAAATATATTAAAAGAATTCTGTTTCAGAAAAGTATCTATTTAAACATATCACCAAACTCTGTACATGAAAATAGCCTCCCATTCATCATTTCTTATATTTACTATTATTGTCAGTAGTTCCTGGCTTGTAGAAATTTTATTTAGTGTGGAATTAGGATATACTGATTATGAATTGCTACAGAAGACTGTATTTGTTTAAAGGGTCATTATATTTATGTATATTAAAAAGTAAAGGATTTTTATTTTAAAATGAAAAGTAAAATTAATTTTATTTTGCTCCCTGAAACTGGCTTAATCTGTTTCACACGTAAGTATGCAATATTCTATGTACATTTTATAAATATTATGTTATTTGAGTAGCAAACACATCAAGGCAAATTCTGAACATTATATCAAAAATTTTCTAGAAAAATGATAACTTTACTAGATTCAACTAATAGTTCACCAAAATTAACGTGATTTGAAAAAAAGCAGTTATCAGAGTGAGAAAAAATATGAAATTAACAATAAAGTGCTTTAAGTCCACAGACATAACCCCAATACCATTTCCTTTCTGAAAAAAAATTTTTTTTGGTAAATTTTATCACGATTGGGAGTAAATAATGGAACTGATTCCCAAGATTCACTATTAGATAACTCAAAAAATACAGGGAGAAAAAAGACATGAGGAAATGTTAACTATCAAATATGAAGATACGTGATACTATACTCTTTTCCAGCAAATTAAAATTGTAATTTTTACATAAGCAAAGAAATCCCAGAGTTCTGATAGATGCACTTCAACAGTTTTTTTTAAAGTTATGTTACGGCCTATTAAACATATCTGTGATTAAATAAAAAGAGATTTTATTTCTTAGAAAAATTCATTGCACCGTATTTTAAAGATTAATTTGCTTTCCTAAGTTTCTAAAATGCTTAAATGTTTTTTCCATTAGCAAAGTCAAATAGAAAGTAGAAATAACTAAAACTAATGATTAGTGTTAACTATTCTGAAAACCACCCCAAGATTTTTACAGTTGTCCTCTGAGATTTCAAGGAAGTCTATACTTTAAAAAAGTTTCTTATTCAGTTAATTACTCCCCCCCCATTTTATTACTTTTAATAATAGAACTTCCATTCCAAAATACCACAGTGGTCAATAATTTCCATGTAATGGTATATGAAGAATAGCTCCATAAAGTTACTAATTGGATATTCAGGTATTAGATTATATCTAATACACACATATCAGATATTAGCTAACTAAATTCTCAAATTATAAAATTTTGTAATGTTTATTTGGCTCCAAAATTTTTCTTTTTCGTATTTCTTGCATGTTAGAGTCTCAAAGAAAAACAATATGCGTAAATAATAGTTGAATACACAGAAGTCTCCAATCTAGAATTTATTCTGAAGTGATTATGTAAAGGTTCTATAATTATATCTATCATAGCTCCCTTGTTTTTAATGTTAAATTTTTTTCTAACCCTTTTCAGTTCGATTTCTAAACCAAAACATCCTGCCTATTTTTTATACGTTACTATCGGTTTTGCTTATTACAAGTTTTGTTGTTGAAATAGTTCTTTGGAGAAGTCAATTTTTCATATTAATATAAATAAAACTCATTCCTACAGTGAATCAAAAAAGTCAGTGTAGTCAGTTTGTTTTCTTTTCTTTTCTTTTCTTTTCTTTTACTGAATGAGTAAATCAATCACACACCAACAGTGTTGTAAATTTAAGTGCAAAAGCATTGAAGTGCTTTACTACAAATTACAACCTAGAAACACGTTAACTGAACAATTAAAATTCATACAATCAGATTTAGATATATAACAACACAAAGTAGGAACAGAATTACAGTACATTTACAACACAAGACAGATACATGAATTCATTAGAAAATATTGTAATAAATAATTCATGAATTATAGTGCAATTGATTTATGCATAAATATAACTAATTGCCTAACAATCAGTTTATATTAACAAAATCTGTCAAAATCAAGGCAGCCACAGAGTTTTACTAAATTACTGCGACAATGGAAATACTGCAATTAAAAAACAAATACAAGTATTTGTACTGTAAACAACTAAAAAAATCAGTCTCACTAAAGTTAGTATACAATTTAATATAAAATTGTCATTAGCTACCAGAAATGGTTTAAACAACTTTACTGAGCAGTAGTTTTCTAAAAACAGAGGCACTGTTTTTTCTTTTCCTTCTTTTTTTTTTTTTTAAATATAAAATACTTGAGGAACATTCAAATAAGTAGAAAGCATATAAGGGTTGCTTTCACCTTCATTAAAAGTCTGCTGAAACTGGATTTTTCAGAAAACTGTCAATTAATAAGTAGTAACTGGTAACTAAATTTATAAAGTACTTTGAAAGTTTAACATAAAGAACATCTTAATAGAATCAATGGGGAGAAGGGGAACCCATAAATTTCCCTGCCTTTCCTAGTTTGTATAATCAAAAGTTAACTCAATAATTAGAAA